AACGGAAATCCTCACGTGATTATGTGTGTAACCATTAATTCGTAAAAGTATAATGTCCTACGCTTCGCTCCGGACAATAATCAATCGATGTCACGTATGTTGCGTCTCACGACTCTCAAGATGTTCGAGTTGATTGTTAATGAGTACCTTCAACAAACGGTATATAAGGATTGGTCTATTATTTCTTTACTACAATATATCAAATCAAAATCTGTATTATCTGCTGATATGATCGAAACCCTAAAAACAGAAATATATTTAGTCCTACGAAGCTTCAGTGATCCTATCAACATCAATCTTCATGAGAATGCAAAAAAAAGAACGTGGAAAGTTTTATCAAAATTTGATAAATCATTCTCTACAACTGTCGTGAAAAGTTTTATTGAAGAGTTAAAATTAGAAGATGAAAGAAGGGCATACCTTACAACTTTGTCTCGCAAAATAACATCGATAAATGCATTACAATTACTAGAGGTGAGTTTTAAAGCAAATATAGGAATGATTACATTGCAATGATCTTATGAGAATTCTATTAGGAACAACGTATGGCAAAGAAATTAATTGAAGATATGCACAACAAAGACGTGAAAGATTCTACCTCTGCTATAGATGATCATACGAAGTGGAAGCATGATGAATTACAATTACTAGAGGTGAGTTTTAAAGCAAATATAGGAATGATTACATTGCAATGATCTTATGAGAATTTTATTAAGAATAACGTATGACAAAGAAATTAATTGAAGATATGCGCAACAAAGACGTGAGAGGATCTACCTCTGCTATAGATAATCATACGAAGCAGAGATCTGATGAGTCTCATTCTCTGGATAATGATGAAATGTTGGCGAAAAGAGCGAGAGTAGAAATTGAAAGTCAAAATACAACTATTTATGGTAAGAATTTTATCAATTTGGATAATATGACACAGACATGTACTTAAAAATTATATCTTCCATCAGAAAACGATGAAATATCACCGCTAGTTAATATTAAAACATTAACTTCTCCCGTCGAATCCGAAGAAATTAAAAATAGAGACAGAGGATCTTATTAAATTCTTAAAAAAATGAGTCTTACATTTAAATGAAAAACATTTCGAAATATTACGCGATCGGAAAATCACTGGTTGTGATTTTGTCAAAATGAACAAAGAAGATTTCAAGGAATGCGGTTTTAAAACTGGTCCATCAATGAGACTTGTAAATGTTGTTAAGGAGCTTAATAACCAAAGTAAGTACTATTGTGATTGGAGTACTATGTTTTTATGATGTAAAAGTATTGTTCTTATTTTTACTTTCACAACTTATGAAGCCATTCTCTCAACTCTTATGTATAGAATCTTCAGTAGCTAATATCAAATCTGGCTGGGAAGAACTCTGTGAAGAACTTCGTGAAGAACTCCTTAATGAACCTCGTGAAGAACTCCTTAATGAACTTCGTGAAGAACTCCTTAATGAACTTCGTAAGGAACTCCGTGAAGAATTTCGTAATCTTTGTGATATTCTCTATAAAAATCCTAGAAGATAGACAACAAAGAATAGCCATGTAGTAAAATTCCTTGACGGGTAGGGCAGTCTGTAGATTTGACAAATAATAATAACCAAAATTTATATTTGTGGGTTGTTTGCTTTTATTTGCGATATATTTTTTCAGCTTCGTTCAAACATGTATTGTGCGACTCTTTTTTATTGTATAATATTTCGTTTGCTTATTAACGTTAAAATAAAGTTTTTCGTTCTAATGTCATCTCAATATTACAGTTCGTGGTCAGATCATATAGGTAAGAACTTTGTGTTATACTGATCGTTCCCTGAGGGAACGGTTCTTTGTCCCAGTCCTGAAATTATATGATCTATCGTTTCAGGGTGTTAGGTGAAATAGTAACTGTGGAAACATAACTTCTTTGAAAGCAAAACAATAATTCGTTTACTGTGCCAAATTATACTGCGCCCTGTTGATATGGTGTCCCGCCTCGGTAACTAGAAAAAATAGTGTTCTGTATTTCAAACAGCATTTTGGCCTTTCCCTTTTTTTAAACTGTGTGTCCTTATAAATGCTGTGTGACTGCTCATCAAATACTCATCTGTGATTTGAGTTGCAGGAAAGTGCTGAGAACTGTTTGGGAGCCAGGGTGATACAAATTTTTATGTTATACATTATGCAAAGCGTCCCTGTTAATTACGAGAGATCATGTAAATATAAAATTAGCCCTTTTTTCTCACTATGGTTCAAAAAAAGAATGCCAGGCCAGAGAAACATATCAGGATAGGTTATCTCCAAAAGATCTTAACTGGTAGAGGCGGTCTCATGATTTTTCTGGCTTTGAGCTTGTGAAAAGGTGGGCTATAATTATGAATCTGTTTTCACCTAAAGTTCTTTAAACAAGGGGGGCGTAATCGAATAAAAATGAATTTTAGATTTAGTAGTGTGTAGTCTTACTAAATCAGCTACAAATCGATAAAATCGCTATAAATTTGAATCGAGATATTTTCTAGTATAGGTTGATAAAGAATCGATATAACATGCTGAAATTGCTATAATTCGCTAAAACGCTATAAATCACTAAGATCAGTTATAAACTATAAAAATGGTTAAAACTAACTATTCTGGTTTAATCCTGTAGTAGTGCAAGCGTTAAACAATCTGCAATATAGGTATAATGGTGAAACACCAGAAATGTAGTATTCTTGTGTTCATTATCCATTTAAGAAACTTCTTGAATATAACCCAAAATACTTCTCTAAGAATGGATTTATTCAAATGATTGAAAGATTATATAAAGATGGTAAATTTAAAGCTGAGAGACACTCATTTCATATTTATTGCACTGTATGTGACTCTTAGTAATGATCTGTGAAAATACCATTGAATGTGGCAATAATTATCTGAAGAAATGCATTGCCAAAAGGCATAGTAAATCTATACAAAAGAATACGAAAAAAGAGGAAGTGTATCATTGCTCAGTTCTGATGAGGTTGATGTGATTTTTATAAATTATTCTGTATATCCACTGTATGGTTATCATACATATAATACGGACTATAAATTTAGGGAGAGAATTGCTTATTTCATATTTAATAATGCAAAAGTTATCCAACAGGCTTGGAGAGCTTACAAGTTGAGACCTAAGATATGGACAAACTGAGTTTGGAATATAGTGAGGAATGATAGTACTCCTGATGATAAGAAGTATTTAGGTATTATTCCTCAGAAAATAAAAAATCATATTACTTGTCAATAACATGATTTACATAGTACTAAAATAATTACTATGATAAACAAAAAATATAATTATCTATCATTATAGGAGTATAAGGAATATTATCTTTCTAATAACTGGATAGAAAGAAAAAAAGATCAGTTATGTAAACGATTAAATCTTATAAGATATATAGATAAATATTATTATTGGTCTTATATGTTAAAAGTAGCTATCAATTCCTGAATATTACTGTATTGATAAATACCTAAATAATAGCAATGAAAACTTTGTTAGAAGTTCAGAATATACATGATATGAATATAAATTAGTAGGCAAACATTATTAGTATAATTTACTAGATATTAACTATTATAAAACTGAAAGCATTAATATTAATAGAGAGACTATTACTATAAATTTATCAGATTTACACAATAATTGTGAGTATGTACGCTGAGTTTTTCAGATCATATATTCTTTATTCATATAAAATTATTATAATCATAATTAATAAATCAATTTATTTTTTTACCTTTTCTGTTATAATGTACATAGGCATGAACAATATAAATTATCACATTTTTGATTCTTGTTAAGTATATATAGTATATATGATGTAATAAGTGATACTTTATAAATCATCTATAAAACTATGCTTGTGTAATGAAATAATTTTACACATAAATTGATCCTTCAAAATATTTTGAATTTTTTCTCTATCTATCTAAATAGCATTTATTTACAGTCAGACCTCTCTAAATGCATCCTCTATAAATGCACACCCTCTTTAAATGCACACAATGTTCTGGTTCTAAGCTTGGGACTTAGAGGCTAAATGCATCCTCCAAGTTCTGCATATGCAAGAAATTTTTCTGTCCTTTGATATGACAATCTGATCTCTAAATGCACATCACGTGACTATTTTATAAAATAATAGAACTGTTGAAAATTTGATGTTTTTTTTATTCATTAATTAGTACATATGCAAGCTTTTTTTTGACCTTGACTCTTTAGCATCATTATAATCTTGCATGACTTGACGTTCAACCATTGGATCGTTCGAGGGTGAGTCATGTAAAAAAAAAATTTATTTTTTAAATCAATCAATGTAACTAACAACTAAAATCACTTACCTTTTGTAGTTACCGAATTCTTCAAACATTGATCGTTCGGAAGTAAGTCCTATGATATTTTTTATATTTTTATTTTTTTTTTAATCAATCAATTAAACAATTAAATCACTTATTTACTTGTAGTTACTAGATTCTTCAAGATATAGATCGTTCAGAGGTAAGTCTATGAAAAATAATTTTAATATTAATTTTATTTTAATTGATCAATTATACTAACAATTAAATCACTTACCTTTTTGTAATCGTTCAAAGGTGAGTGCTATGAAAAAATATTTTAATATTTTTTTATTTTTTAATTAATCAAAAATCTAACACTAAATTACTTACCTTCTTATAGCTACTAGATTCTCAAGCATTAGATCGTTTGAAGTTGAGTGCTATGAAAAAAATATTTTAATGATTTTTTATTTTTTTTTTTGATCTTACTAATTTTATTTATTATACTAATGTAAGATCTCCGATATATATAAATAAAATAAAATTATAGTTATTATATTATAAAAATTTGTTAAAATGTATATTTTCCATTAATGCACACCCTCTCTAAATGCATTCTTTTACTCAGTCCCGAAGGGGTGCATTTAGAGAGGTCTGACTGTATATAGTATTGAAAATCTTTTGACATGTCTCTATGGAAAACTGGAGAAATTGTATGCGCGGTTGACGTAAAAAAATGATGAATAAATACAAGTTCCTAACGACAACGCAAGAGATCGTTGTGAATACGTCAAAGATATCTTATCAACGAGAAGGTAAAAGATCAAAAATAAATGAATCAAGTTGTTTTTAATATAATTAAAAGACATTATAACTAAGCTACTGAAGAACATTTGAGTTTAAGAAGGATTGTCGAGTAGTTAGTGTATCCGCACTGGTCTGGCCCTGAGTTTTATTGTGAATTTGATAACAAATTCACGAATTAAAAGTACATCGTGGCTACAGTCACAAATGACTGTGAACGTTCTTTCTAATGTCCCAAATCACTAAGGCGTAACCCGAAACTTAATCTGACATTTGTGTAAATCGATATTATTCGGTTTTCTCTCGGAGCATTAGGTGTAAAATTTTTATATTTCAATTATTTATACTTTTTATTTCTTAGTTTATTTTTTCAATAAAAAAAAACATTTGTATGATTTACAATAAATTTATTTCGTTAATAGTAAATCCCATATTATTTGAACCTTTATTACACGTACTGGTTTTCAGTCTTTTAACAAGTTAAACCAATTGGAATGTCCTGTAATAATTTCAAAACGTACCATGAATATAAAATATTTCGAGTAATTAATGATCGCGATGAAAGGATAACAGCTTTTGAAAGCTAGATCATCATTGCTTAAAATAGATCAGTATCATAAAAATGAAATGTAGTTCGTTGTTCATAAATTTGTTTTTAATTTATTTAAGCTTTTCAAATATTTTATGAGTATTTGGGTGAGATCACAACCGTTTTGTTAAGGTTGATAATGGTGGTAAAATAATCATTCATTTATAAAGTGGAAAAATTTTTCGTTGGAGAGATTGTCTCGATCCAGTTTGTAAATAAGTCACGCTTTTATTTGTTACACTTTTTTGTTTGTTTTAAAGAGACAAGGTTGATTGTTGATCATTTTTTATTTTTTTTGAATTAATTAGTTATATGAAAGATTTACAAATGGATATTTTTTTAATTCAACGAGAATTTCAAAATTCGTGTTAAAAAATGAACAAAATTTTTTTTGTTCACCATGATCGATCTCCTGATCGCATCGACAAGCAATCATATTAGGCCATCAATCCGATCAGATCTCGCTGTAATAAGTAATATATAAATAAATAGCTTAGCTTACTTTTGTTTAGTTATCAAGTCTAGCAAAGTTTAATAATGGTAATTCGTGAAATATACAGAAGTACATCTGGATTTTACTCGATCATCACGGTTTTATAAGAAATATGTGAGTGGATATATTTCTACGTGAATCTAATCTTAAAATCAAAACCAAATTTCCTCCATTGATTGACACGGACTTAGCGTCGCCCAGAACAAATAGTAGCCGGATTTATTTTTTCTGGGTTAGAGTTAGTACTAGAGTTAGGATTAGTTAGGAAATTTGTTACATCGTGGGCACATGTCAGATAGCCGATCATTAACAATTATATTCAAGGCGGTAAAATTTAAACGACTATTTAAACTTCTAACCATAAAATTT